GTGCAGGAATATAGCAGCTGAAGTAGAGAGTGGTGACTCCAGCCATTAGACAACCAATACTTTTGTGAGAGGAGACCCATGTCCCCATTTCTGCCTGCAAAGTTCCTTCTCTCTTACTGCTCTGGAAGCCACTTAGCTTAATCTCTTCAGTGATAGCTGAGGCAAGAGAGAGCTAAGAGACAGGAGAGTACTTTCTAGACAATTATTCTTTGTCTGTTTATATGAGGCAAGGGAGCATAACAGCCTGGCTGCCTTCATATGGGGAAAGAAAAATACACAGAGAAAAACAACAATTATTTTAATAAACCCTACCAAACAAATATTGTGAAGTTATTTCTAGAAAATGTCATGAGGAAAGTCTTGGACCAAAATGTAATGGCAGCTATCTCTGAGTAATAAAATGAATTGATTTGTTTTGTTCTCTGTTTCTAAATTTCATGAAGAATTGTTTATGTTCTTTTTTATTATGGTAAAAAGAATATGTCATGGAATTTACCTTTGCAGTCATTTGGAAGTGTGTGATTCAGTGGCCTTAAGAACATTCAGCAGTGTTCAGCCCTCAGGATTAATCTTGTCTCGGACTTTCTCATTGCCCCCTGCCACTCTCAGCTCCTGGTCACCTTTATTTCACTGTTTTTTTTTTTATGAATTTGTCTGCATCTTGCAAAATGAAATGAGCCAGACACCTGAGACCACTTGTGTATTTGGTCCTTGATGTCCAGCTTGCTTCAGCAAGCACGATGTTTTCAGGATTCATCAAACTGGCAGAGCTCGGAATTTCATTCTCTTGTAAGACTCATTAATATTCCACTCTGGGAATAACTGGTTTGTCTGTCATTTGTTACTAGACTTTTGGAGCTTCTCTAGCTCTGTTGTCAACACTGATGTGTAGGCAGCCATCTGAGTTCCTGTTTCAGCTGTACCACGTCCATTCCCAGCAGTACATCTTGTGGGTCACTTGGTGATTCCGTGTTCAACCTTTCGACGATACTCTAAGCTGTCACACAGTAGCGACATCATTTCACATTCCAGCCAGCAATGCGTGAGAGTTCTAGTCTCTTCATTCTTGTCAACATGTTATTGTTCTTGTTGCTTTGTTCTAGACATCATGATGAATATAAAGTGAATTTTTATTTTTAACATCAGAAGAAGCTGTGAGAATGAGGCAGTAACGTGTGTCTGGGTAGAGGCAACGGGAATGTAGCCCCTTAAGAGCTTCTTTCTCCCTTTCCTAGTCCATTTTAAGACAATTTTTATTAGTTTTGTCTTTTGTTTTCCAAAATTTTTAAATGTTTCAAAAACATTGTCTTAAAATATATGCTGACTGTTTTTTTATTGTCTCATTTAATCTTGTGCCAAAGCTGGACTCTGACCTGCTCGCTCAGCCTGGATGGGTCGTGCAGCTCCTTCTAGACTGGAAGATGCACAGCGCAAGCACAGCCTGGCTTGTGCCTGAGGCTTCCCTAGGCCAGATTCATGGAGTCACTACCCATACCCATTTCTGTCCTGTCTTTCAGAAAAGAACCTGCAGGCTGTGTGCAAAGCAGGGCAGTTTAGGACTCATTGAAACTAAGAAGTCATGTAGGATTTTTAAAATTGTTCTTGAATTTAAGAGTAAGTGCCCATGCTCACCACCGCTCACCCTCTGTAATTGGGTCTAGAATCCGACCATGTTTATTTTACTTTTCATATAATTCAAATGGTGAAATTTGAGAACAATACAAATCACACCTGGATTTCAAAATACCTAAGAAGAGAAGCCATCAGGAATATGGAGGGAGGAGGGATGTTTGCTGTCAAAGACAAGGAGTATATCTAGCTATCAATACCTTCATTTGGCATCTAAAACAAGGCATCATTCTTGGTAGACTGATAGCTAAACTGCAGCTCCTTATACATGTCATCAGATTTCCCCAAAATTTCATTATTCGGTTCTGGAATCTGACCTGATGCCCCAGAACTTAATATATTTAGACACTGAGTATTTCATTATTTTCTTAGGTTAATTATATTAGATGCCAGGACAAGGGAAGACCATTCTCTGGTTTTAGAAAGTGAAAGGACCTTAGGGACCAGGGATGTTTCCTCTCTGTTCTCTGACTTTCCAGTGCAATAAACTGACAAAAGGTAAAGAAAGTGCGCAGGGTAGAGCATCAACCTGTCAGCATGGGAGCCAGGCCCAGGGATGTGGTTGCCCACTAGCCCCAGGGAGGGGAGGGGAGGGACGGAGACTTTGAGGAGCTGTGAATTATTACCAGGCAAATAAGACCTGGAATGAGCCCAAAGGGATGCATACTGTCCTGTAATGGAAGTCGATCCAGGTAGGGCTATGCTTCTCAGCCTTTCCCAGAGTCAAGTGATTATGTTCCCTTTTGCAATCTGTTCTAAACACAGATTAAGTCCCAAAGGCTCTTCCTCCTTGTGGTAAGCAGACAATAAGCCTCTCTTTACAGCAAATGGAGGCCGCCACAGAAAATACACTGGACACAATGTAGAGACCAATACCATGGGGAACCCATCCCAATCGATATATCTATATCACAGCTCCTGCAACACCAGGGAGCATCATGGGAGAGGGGTCAGGAAGATTATAAGGAAGTGTGCTGTGAAACAGTCTAGCATAGGAAGGACTGCATAAACAAGACCTGGACAATGGCAGTGTTGATAGGCATGCCAGTGAGGAAGTGGGGACCTCTTAGGGGTCATCCCCACCCTGGACAAAGAACTACAGGCAACTAGTGACTGCTGAAAGAGGGTCCCAGGGAAGGACCTCCCACCCCAGTTAGTTGTCCAATTCAAAATAGGCTTGAAACCACATACCCACAAACAACAAAAATAGCCTCAGCAAGTTGTGAATACATAATATATAACTAATAATCAGAGAAGAAGCTATTAATCCGAGAGGGGGAACGTGGAAGGAACTGGGGGGAAGGGACTTGAGAGGGGCTGGAGGGATAAAAGGGAAGAGGAAAGTGATATATTTTAATTAAAAATCTATTTTAAAAATCCTTTCATTGAATACCATACCAAAAACTGATGTGACATTTTTTCAAGTATGTTCTAAGCCCCAGAACAGTCTGGTGGGACCCTGTCAACCCAAAGTGGTATAATCCTGCCTGTTATTTTGGCCATGAGGTCATGATGGATAACTGGATATAGCAAGAGCCTAATTTTGGGTCATGCCCTGCCAGTTTGCTTGAAGAGGGAGTTCCACCACATTGACATCTTTCAGTCATGGCTAATGGTGAGGTCCCAGTCAAAAGTCTGGCTATGGAAGTGCAGGTGAGTTTCCATGGTTGGTTACACTCTAAGCACATTGCCAGCATCGGACTCCTCTCTCAGAAAAACAAAACAATAGCGACAACAGAAGAGTCAAAGGATAGGGGCTCATTGCTGGATTCTGGCTCTGTCATGACCAAAGGTACCTGGCAGAACATACCTAGCCTTGGGCTGGCAGGTTCCCTTTGGAGTCTTTCTGGGTCTCCAAGGGAGGCTGGTTACAGCAATACACCTAGCCAGGAACTACAACAGCAGCTTTGTGCTTCAGTATCCAGACTGCCCTGTACTCTGCCTGGCTGATTCTGCTCTGTGTCCTGACCCTGTGATAAACATAACCACAAGTGTAACAGCTATCTGGAGCTCTGGAGGTTGTCCAGCAAACTTCCCTTCGGTCGAAGGGTTGGGTACCCTAGAAGTTCAGGGGACTACTGTGTCCTCAATTCTATCAGGTTAATACTGGGCACTGAGATCAATGAGAGAAAAAGATCAATTCCTTTCGCTGTTTGTAAACACAACTGTATTTCTCTTTAAAAACAAAGTAAGGAAACAAGAATACGTACATTACCCCCTTCCCCAAAAAGAAGTATCCAGTAGAAAGATTTTAGTAATACAGAGGATAAGAAGTCTTGGAGTGTAGGGTGGGAAAGTCTGGAACTCGGAACTTAAGAAGGCTTGCATGGAGCCAGCAATTGACCCGGGTCTCAACACAAGAGGAACAAAAATGTGCCCGCACACCCACACGCAAACATTCACTCACGTGCTGTATATGAAGTTACACTCTGCCGTAGAGTTTACTAAATTAATTCAGTGGGTGTGAGGGTGGTAGTGAGTGCCACAGCACACTAGTGGAGGCCAGAGGACAACCTCCAGGAGTCTTCTCTCATGTGGGCCGCAGGGTGGTCACATATCTTCAGGCTTCATAGCCAGAGCCCTGCCCTGTTGAGCGCAGGAGCAGGGTTGTTTGTTTGTAAGTTTGTTTTGGGAGGGGGCGTGGTGAGCAAAAGGTGAATGAAAAAAAAATGTGATCCAGCCTACAGTAGGACACTACCGGCAGTAAAAAGAGATTAAATTCTGTTAGACATACTAAGGAAGAAGCTTTTAAGCTTTATGCTAAGTCAAAGAAACAAGCACAACAAATGGCATATTTTTAGAACTCCATTTGTATTAATAGGCAAATCCAGAGACAGCTTTGTGATTGCCTATGACTGGGCACGATTTAAGAAAAATGGGGCGGGTGTAACTGCTAATGACTACAGGAGTTGTGAGGCGGTTGACAAATTGTGGCGATAGTTAGACACTCTCTATACTAAAACCACTTTAAATCGGTGAATCGTATGTTCTGGTACGCGAATTAAATCTCCGCCACCACGGCTTGTTTTCAATTGCATCTGCCTTGGTAACAAGGTGAACACAGTCCTCAGTGAAATACAGTCAGCGCTATCCCAAGTCAAGGCGCACAGCGAAAGTAAACCCTGACCATTTTCTCAGTGCTCCAGGAATATACGAACTGGAACCTCGGATTTCAGAGTGGAATCGCGGGACTTTGGCACGAAACAAGATCCGGAGATCCGAAAGCCGCCGTTTGCAAACCTCCCACGACGTTGGCGGGAGGGCCCACGGTACCCACACGGAGCCTGCGCAGCCGAGTCCCGACGCTGGGGGGGCGCGGACCCAGAAGCCAGTCCGACGGCGGAGGCCGCCCCGCCCCGCCCCGGCTCCTCCTCTTCCCCTCGCCGCCGTCCCGCCCTCGCCCGCAAACCCAAACACTCCGGGTGCTAGTGCGCGTGATCTGCCTGTGGTCGTTTGGCCGAGAGATGCTGCTGCTGGCGGCCGCCGGCCTCGTGGCCTTCGTGCTGCTCCTCTACATGGTGTCGCCGCTCATCAGCCCCAAGCCCCTCGCGCTGCCCGGTGCGCACGTAGTGGTGAGTGGCCTCCTGTTGCTCTTGGTCGGGGCTGCTTGGCGGACTTGGGCCACCGAGGCCACGGTCCTTGGAAGGTGTAGTCGAGTGGGATGGCTCACCTGCCGCCGCCACCCCGGCACTGCCCTGCCCTTCCTGGCCTCAGGAACCCGCCCACGGCAGCGCCAGGCTCCTCTCTGGGCTGCAGAGCAGTGCCACGGAGAAGGCGCCCGCCGAGTTCCCAGGGCTCTGGGGCTCTGTGCTGCTCGCTCATCAGCGGAACTGATTGGGTCTTCAGTTCTCCCGATGAGTCAGTCCACAGAGAGACTGAGAAACTTTGCCAAGGACACAGCGGTCGGTGGCTGGTAGGATAAGGGCGCGAATCCGAGTGGGAGCAGCCACTTCCAGGGAGTCCTAGGGAGCCCGCAGCAAGGAAGGGTCCAGGCCTCTGGGACTGGCCCAGGTAGCTGAGACTGGAGGGTTGCTTGTGCAGGTGACCAAGAGCCAGAGGGTTCTAGGAAGTGACACTTCTGAGGGTGGCCTGGCAGCTTGGGCCAGCAGACTTGTCTCTGAGCTCAGCCGCGGGAGCCTTGCTGATTGCTGCTCCGGTGTAATCCTTTACCGTCTTTCCGGAGTCGGAAGGATGAGCTAACCAGCTTAGTTATTAGGGCCTTAATATGGAAGGAGACATACATGAGTAGTTTCGTTTGTTTCTGGCCGGAAGCTCGCACATTTCTAATGTGCAGGCTTAGCTATGCTCTCCCCCCCAAGTTGAGGGCTTCAATCCTGGCCATGTCTTGTATGGACCGCAAAATCTGAGGCACACTGAGGCAAGGAGTTGTGAATAAGGGCAGAGAGTTTCTAAACTGGCACCATGCATCCCCTGAGTGCCCATAGATGGCTTATGTGAATGTAGCCAAGTGAGTTCTCACTCCACTGATATGGTGGCTATTTATTTTAGTGTGCTTTATCCCATACACAGGTTTGTGGGTGACAACATGTGTTTCCATTCATTTATCCTTTGTAAAATTATTAGTTTTTCCCGGCTGCTGCTGTGCACGATGTGGAAGAAGTTATTAAAAGGAGAAAGCCAGACTTTATAATCATGCCAAGTTTTGAAGTTTTACATTCACAAGAGAACTGCTTCAAATTCATGGCTAAAGAGGTTGAATTTAAGGGCCAGGGAAATGGCTCAGTTAAAGTCCCCAGCACCAGGAGGTCACAGCACTGGGGCCAAGACCTGTGGAGCCCTGGAGGCCACTGATCAGCTTGCCGGTACACACACGTGGGCTTCAGGTTCAGTGAGAACCCTGTCTCAAAAGTTAAGGTGGGAGGTGTGTGAAGAAATATCAGGCATTGACCTTTGACCTCTGCACAGGTGTGCCTACATCCATACCAAACTGAATTATCTTACAACTTGTACTTGCAAAGAGTAGCTCAGCTAGGGACAAGGAAGACGAGCCAAAGTCAGAATGAAACTTTTGACCCAACATTTACAAGGTACTTTTAACTAACTTTGATATTGTCCTTCTGTCCCCATTGCCCATCACTTTCACGGGTTAGGTAATGGCTGTTTCAATAGACAATAAAATCTTATTCAGCATCCTATTTTAGTACAACAAATTATATATATCTATATACGAATGTACGTATATCACTATAAATTATGTGGCATGGCATGAATTATGCATATGACGTCACCATCTGTCTTTTTGTAATAAACTGAAAATAGTAAAATGTGATTTAGTTGAGACGTATTATCAGGAGAGGAAGCCATACCCTGCACTGTCCGCCTGTGTGTCAGCATGAACAGCCGTACCCTGCACTGTCCACCTGTGTGTCAGCGTGAACAGCCGTACCTTGCACTGTCCACCTGTGTGTCAGCGTGAACAGCTGTACCCTGCACTGTCCACCTGTGTGTCAGTGTGAACAG